TGGATGCTAACAGTGGTTATGTCATTTATTGAAGTTGATACTCATGTCATATTTGCAGGGATCTTTACCAATTTATTCCAGCAGGATTGCTGTGAGTGTGGTCGACAATGTACTTCTTATTCATCAAGTTGATGCAAAGGTTGTTATACTTTATGATCTCTTTGCAGATTCCCGAGCACCAATATCCGCACCACTTCCTTTATTGTTAAGGGGTTTCCCCAGGCCCAGGTCTTCATCTCAATTTAATGGTAGAGAAAGTGAAAGTTCAGATGTTAATGTTGTGAGTAGCCATGAAGCAGTTACGTATACGGATACATGGAATTTCCTAGTCCCTGATTTTGTGTGCGATGTGGCCAATAAGTTATTATGGAAATTCAATTTAGACTTAGAAGTAAGTTTTTTGTTCATTTTGGTATCAATTCCTAATTTGGATGTGCTTTTGTGAAATGAATAACCTTATTTTGTAGGCAATTTCTGCCAGTAACTCAGATGTCCCATCAGTATTAGACTTCCTGCAGCGGCGAAAGTTGGAAGCTAACAAGGTATGTTCAACCTATCCATCCCAACTTCATTACAATAATGCTTCTAATTGATTAATTCTTCAATATGCAATAGTTCAGCAATTGCTGTTAGCTGCTTCTTTTTTACTTTAAACTAAGTTTACCAGCAGTCAGTCAGTTTGTACCAGTTTGGTTCCTTCCAAGAATTCGAGAGTCTTGGATCTCTCCCTTCCCAAATGTTGGAGAGTTGGGTCTCTCCTAATAACCATTCAATTACTTTCCGGTGATCAATGTGAACATAAAATTATAATAAAATGTAACTGCCCCCAATTATATAATAACTGCCACTAACTGCTCCAAATTAATATAATAATAGCCACTTAAAAACATAACTGCTACTAAATGAAAAGTCTAACAATACTCCTTCCTTAAGTTTCACCTTGCCCTCAAGGTGAAAGAAATAAAAGAAAATGTATTTCACCTTGCCCTCAAGGTGAAAGAAGTAAGAGAAAATGTATTTTCCCGAATCCCATAACATTAAATTGTAGGAAATATTCCTCTCGGATCAAACTTGCTCACTGTTGTCGGTCCTCTCGTGAACAGTTGTTGTAGCAATGGCGATACCGGTAGCGGAGCTTTCTCATTCCTAGACTTTATCTTAGGATTAGCAGCAAACACTGTGTGAGACCTAATGTCTGGTCATCACGACAATGGTGGTTGTTGGTCCAACCATTGTGGTGGTGGCGTCTCATATGGTTCTTCATTCTCTATTTTATCAGTTTCTGACCCAAATTTCTTGAGAATTGCCTCTTCAAAATTTCCCCAAGTGGCACTTGGATTGGCCGAAACCCATAATTGGTACCATGTGACGGCTCTACCACTCATCCATTGCGCAACTTTTACAAATAGAGTTGATAGAAACTGGTTCTTTACAAAATATAATTGGGACAATTTCTTATATTTATTGGTACAAACAAAATTTTAGTACAGATAAATAACACACACTGACAGAGATGAGTTTGGTTCCTTCCAGGAATTCAAGAGTCTTGGATCTCTCCCCTCCCAAATGTTTGAGAGTTGGGTCTCTCCCAATAACCTATCAATTACTTCCCGGTGATCAACTTTTCTCCATCTTCCCCTATTTATTCCAAACGTGAACACAAAATTAATGAAATAAAACTGCCCCTAATTATATAATAATAACTGCCACTAACTGCTCCTAATTAATATAATAATAGCTATTTAGAAACATAACTGTTACTAAATGAAAAGTCTAACCTAGGATTAGGCCACTTTTGTATTGACCTCTTTATTTCTAGGGGCTGCAACTACGTTCCCTGCTGTTGTCTTATTCATGTATTGTATAAGATAAGCTGATTCGGAACCAAAAAGGCTTTAGTTGCCCTAAGTTGGTAAATTTCATCACCTTACAAGTGGATGACCCCTTACTACTAGATGTTGCAAGCTAACATCGTAGGAAGGAAGGCACTAGGCAGAAAAAGTACATATCCTCTTTGCTTCTACAAAGTCTAACTGTATCAGTGGCAACCGTAGGCCTCTTGCTCTAGTCTAATATAGCCTGTTTCGTTTCACTGGCCAACCCTACTCTTCTATTGGCATAGCCTTTTGTGTTATCTTATTTTTTGTGCATCTCAGCTTTAGCATAATTAGTGCAATAAATATATTCATTATTCGACTTCAGTTATTTTTAATGGTCACTTGTGTTTTAACAATTTTCACTTCTAGGAATCAATTACACTAGTTTTTAATTTAGCTGGTTTAAAAGTAGCAGAATTTTTTCTGCAAGTCATTTTGAGGCCCTCTGGGCATAAGTATCCCTTAATATACAAGGAAATATGTTTGATTTACTTTACTGATTGGTATCAGAACTAAAGTGCAATTGACATGCATTTGAGACTTGAGAGTCCTACCTGTCTATTATAAGAGTTAGAATTGAGTAGTATCATCTACCCTAGCAAATTTGGAAGATTATGTAGCCAGCTGTATTCAAGACTGTTGGATAAAGTTATATAGTTTTTTAATGGGATACTGTGAATGCTTTCTAAATTTATTACTAAACATGGTAATATTGAGTTCCCTGTTATTCTCTATTGGGGTATGCACTGCGAGTCTGGAATATGATTCTGCCATAAGCCTCCATCTACATTGACTGTAAAATAAGTTGTGTTATATTGATATTGATTGAAATCTTTTTAATTGATTCTGAGTTACAATTATTAATAGTATTCGTTTGTTTTGAAACTTTGAACCAATCAATTGAGGATTAATTAAAATCTCAACTTTCTTTGTTTCTTCCTTTTCAGGCTAAACTATTGTGCTTGGATATAACACAGACACTTATTCTAGAGCACAGACCTGTGCATGTGGTTGCCAAGGCTATAAATGTACTAGTTACCTCGTTCTCCCATTCAATTAAAACTTGTAGCTTACTGAAGGGGCTGAAACCAGAGATGACATTTAACTCTGGTGCACAAAATGCTGACACTGATGTATCTGCTATAGAAAGAGATGCAATTGGGAAATCAATCATACATGAATCTACCACTAGAGTTGACAGCGGAACTTTGGATTCTGAGGATGAATCACAGCTTGCAAATCTTAAACACGGTTCAAAGCAGGCCCATGTTGAGGGTAGTGTAAACAATGAGAACTCCCCTCGTAACGAAGCTCATAGTTCTTATGCTATGCAATCATCTTTAATTTCTGCGCAAGAGGAATCCCAACTTACTTCAGCGGCAATTTCACCAGATGAGATGTACAACTTTGTCTTTTCTCCTGTTGATGAAGAGATGGTGGGAGACCCTTCTTACTTGGTTGCTATAATTATTGAGTTTCTTCACAGGTTTGCCAAAACTACTCTTTTTTTGCTAAAAATCTGTTTTGACTCTCCAACATTCCATAGATTCGGATTCTAGTTTCTAATGGAATTTAGTTTGGTCCACTAGTAATGTTTGACAATGAGATATATGATTTCAACTTTCAACTATTTACAAAAACCGTTGAAAACTTCAACTACTACTGTGCCTTAAGCCCTTAACAATCCAATGATGTTGTGCTTTCTAACTGATGGTATAAATAGTATATGCTGTTTTCCATTGCAAGGGGACCTAGTTTAGAGTCAATTCCAGTATGATCAACTTTTTTATTGTTTCAGTTATCAATCTTCTTTCACGGGTAGATTTGAAGATCCCTATTTAAACACATGGCACTAACCATGGTCTCTATTATTTGTAGGCTTGTTAAGAATTTTAATCTTGATCCATCCTTTTCCCTTTCAATTTCCCATGCCTACAAGGTGTCTTTCACAATTCCTACAAAAGACACTAGATATGTCGTTCACTACAAAAAAAAAAAACACAAGATAGTATCATAGTAGGCTGGAATGGCCAACCCTAAAAATTTCTAGCAGGATATGTGAGTGCCCCCTATATCAAGATTATGTAATCAAGATAAGTACTCTATGTAACACAAAAATGCTAAAAAAACTCAACCTTGAGACATTCATTTTTTATAATCTACATCTAAAGTTAGAGTGTCCCTACGTCTTGGGCCGAGTGGTCTTAAACTCATGTCTTGGAAACGCTTTTAAAGAGCAAAAAATGCAGTATTATCATTATGCCAAAATATTTAGCTAGATAAGGCACCTAAAGATTATTGTCTGAACCAACAATATGATAGAAATCAACTGATATAGAAGAAAAAATAGGGAAAATCCCTTGAATTACATAATAGTACTGCAGAACTTTGAGGGTCTGCACCTCCCAATGCCAAAATGGCCCCTTTTCCTATCCAATTCCCCGATAATCCACTATGCTTTGCTATCTTCCTATTTATTGAGCATAACAGCCTATAGAACTTACACGCATTAATTAACTAATTTATAAAATGCAAATGAGAGAAAGATAAAAAAGTAACGGCAAATAAAATAACTGCATGGCAGAATAGAAATGGCTCCTAGTAATTCTGAAGGTCTAACAATACTCCCCCTTAAAGATTCACCTTGTCCTCAAGGTGAAGGGTTACCCAAGTGTTCCCCGGGGTCCCAGAACTTGAATTCACCCCCACTTCTTTGGGTTTCTCACCATAGTTCTCATCTTCCACATTTTCCTCCAATAGCAAGACTTGAAATTGTTTGTTTGCACATACACGTCCAGGGCTAAACTTCTCACCACATCGGAAAAATAGTCCTTTAAGTGATTTATCTTGCAATTCTGCATCTGTCAACCTTTAAAAGCCTTTGCCTTTGGAAAATAAAATTTGGTCGTGATTGATTTGCCTCACATGTGGAACCTGCCGCACTGAAAACAGTTTGTGGATGGCTTTTATTTCCAGGATCACATGTCACAGCCCTGCTATTGTCGTAGACCAGAATTTGTTTCACCATTCTCTTTATTCAACAAGCTATTTTTCTCATCCACCCTTTGTGCATAATCCATCAATTCAGTCAGCCGTTCTACAGGGTGCAGTTTCAATTCTGCTCTAATAATATCTTGAAGTCCATTACAAAAAAAATACCTTTCAAATAAGATGGCTTTGTGAATTTTAGAGGACCAGCATACAATTCAAATTGTTCTCGGTATTCCTCCACAGTTCCTGTCTGTTTGAGACTGAGTCTCAACAATAATTCAAAAGGACTTTTAATCATTGATGGTTGGAACCTTCTTAGTATGGCAGTCCTAAAATCTTCCCAAGTGGGATTCTGAGTTAAAAATTCCCACCATTGATACCACGCTAGTGCCTTACCTTCCATAGCCACCATCACACAACTTGTAATTTCTCGTTCTCACTCATCTTCTTCAAGTCAAAGTAACATTCCACCCTGTTCAACCAATCATAGGCGTCAGTTCCTTCAAAAACAGGCATCTCCAATTTCCTCCATCATTCTTCGCGTTTTCGAGGATGGTTAGTGTGTACAGAAATGTTGTCATCACTGTCGTTTGGACTTCGGACTCCCTGGTGTTGTTCGCAGTGTGCGATACATCAGGGCGGTTAATTCTGCTACTTGCTGGCTCATTTCAACTCTTTCCTTGCGATTATCTTCGAGGATTTTCTCCACATTTTCCCGCACGACTATCAACCCTTCAAATCCATGTTCGAGGATTTCCAATCTGGCCTCCATTTCCCCTTGCGTAGATACCATAAAGCAGTCCCGGTAGGAAACTGCTCTGATACCAGATGATAGAAATCAACTTATATAGAAGAAGAAAATAGGGAAGATCCCTTGAATTACAGAAAAGTACCGCAGAACTTCGAGGGTCTGCACCGCCCAATGCCAAAATGGTCCCTTTTCCTATCCAATTCCATGATAACCTACTATGCTTTGTTATCTTCCTATTTATTGAGCATAACAGCCTATAGAACTTACACACATTAATTAACTAATTTATAAAATGTAATCAAGAGAAAGATAAAACAGTAATGGGCAACGGCTAATAAAATAACTGCATGGCAGAATAGAAATGGTTCCTAGTAATTCTGAAGGTCTAACACAGTAATCTGCAGCATACCTTGGATATTACTCCCTCCATGGCAGAATAGAAATGGTTCCTAGTAATTCTGAAGGTCTAACACAGTAATCTACAGCATACCTTGGATATTACTCCCTCCGTCACTAATTATAAGCACTAAAAGAAAAAATTGTCCCTAAATATAAGCCTCCTTTCAAGTTACTAGATGCATTTAATATTTTGTTCTAATCTCAACCTAATTAATACTACTACTTTGCTTCATAAGGGTAATGTTAACTTGTGCCCTTGGGGCACATGTTAAGAAAACCACTTATAGTAAATTTGCATTGGAAAAAACGATTTAAAAATTAATTTTATACTTTAATTAAAGTTTATACACAATTTCCAAGACAATATTTCTTAATTTAGTTCTTAACATGTGCCCGAAGGGCACAAGTTAACATTACCCGCTTCATAATATGAAAAGTCTAAATATTAAATACATCTATATACAAAGGGTACTTTTCTAATATTTATACATAATGTGCACATTAATTACTGTTAAGAAGTGTGGTTGGGCCTAACTCAACCCTACAAAACCGGTTGGTAGAGTGAGGATTATCCCCACTTATAAACACATGTGCATGCCATATATTGTCCGATGTGGGACTCTTAACACACCCCCTCACGCTCAGGACTGGACAACTGAAGCGTGGAAATAAATGGTGGGTGGCCCGATAGCGGAAACCATAGAAGGTGGCCCACCGGATCTTAAACGAGGCTCTTGATACCATGTTAAGAATTGTGGTTGGGCCTAACTCAACCCTACAAAACCGGTTGGTAGAGTGAGGATTATCCCCACTTATAAACACATGTGCATGCCATATATTGTCCGATGTGGGACTCTTAACAATTACATTACCAACTTTTTTTTAATACATATGAAAAATGTTGATACATGTTTATTATTGGGAAAAACTCAAGTCCCACATTGTTTAAAGATAGAGCCTAATAAATGTTTATATAGAGTGACACCCCTCACGTTACAGGCCAGTTTTGCAAGGATGAATTAGGTCAAACTTTAATTTTTTCCATAGCCTATCATTCGGGCCACCCACCATTGGGAACTTTAATATGCTAATTTTCTTATCTGATCATAAGTTTTACTTCCACTAGTAATCAACTCTCAAAGCTCTTATTTATTGTTGCAGTGCAAATTTGGAAAAGATTCGTGTGCTCCCAAATCTATATGTATTGATAATTCAACTTCTGGTGCGGAATGAACGATATGCAGAATTGGGGTTGTTTATTGTAAATAAGGTTACCAATTTCTCTGTATAGTATTTTTGTGAAGATAAAAGGCCTTTATATGTTAAATTAGAGTTAACTTAATTCTCAGAAGAGATTTTTTGTTGCAGATTTTGGAGCCCTCTAAGGAAGTTGCACTGCAACTCCTGGAGTCTGGACGTCAGAATACCCAAACGAGGAAGCTTGGTCTGGATATGCTGAGACAGCTTGGCTTACATAATGATTATGTATTGCTGCTAGTGCAAGATGGATACTACCTTGAAGCCCTGCGATATGCACGGAAGTACAAGGTAATTTCTACTTTGCCCATTCCTGTTCTGGGATAGCAATTTTGCAGTGTTTTAAATACTCAAAGTAACAGGGAGATGACGGAAATTTGAGGAATGTGCTACAGTTTTCTTATGATTCTGTAGGCTTTATTGCTGTAGAAATTTCATTCATCTGATTGTCTGTCTCTGCTGATGAGCTTTTATTCCCAGCATCCGGATAAAGCCCTTTGCAGAAAATAGGATTAAAATGCAAATAAAAATAATTAAGACCATCTTTTTAAACTATTAAAATTATGACAATTTATTTAGATTACTTTTTTACGATGTTAAAATACGAATGGTCCATGGTGCATACTGGAACAAAACTCCTTTGATCTATGAATGGCCCTCTTTAGCCGACATTCCATGCAAGGCTGCAACCTCAGAATAATATATGGAAATGTGTTCTTTCTGCTTTGTATGAAGACCCACTAGCATACTGATCATACAAAATATATTTTGACAAGTGAGTTTCCATGACCAAAGGCTTCGGCACATTGTCTTCCCCACATCTGAAGTTCTTTCAATGAGAAACTATTTATGATCATAAACTGAAATTATAATTTGCTGAACCATGCCATAAAGACCTGCTTCAACTAGTTGTCTTGTAGAGTGTGTATATCGAATTGTGAAAGTATCACAAGATTTGTGTTTATGATTTTGTTTTTAGTTTATAAATCCAAAGCTAACTATTGTGAGAATTATTTTCAGGTGGATACCATCCGCCCGTCATTGTTTTTAGAAGCAGCTTTCGTATCCAATGACTCCCAACATCTTGCTGCAGTTCTAAGATTCCTTACAGATTTCCTTCCTAGCTTCAAAAACACCTCAGAGCATAATAGATACTACCGCATACTGAACGAGATGAACTCTTCAATGTCTGTTTGAGAGGTTTTGCAAGAAAAAAATCTGAGAATTTGAGTCATTGTCATGGGTAAACCCCTGTTCATGTCGGGTTCTCTAGTTATGATGTTCGATATATTTGCTAATAGTTTCATGTTGTATGTTAAATAAAAGTATCTCTTCGTAGAAAAGTTAGTTTTAGTAGAGACTGATCTAAATGAAATCTTCTTGGAAGGAAATTTTAATTCCCTTGAGCTTGTGGATGAATTGCTTGGTCTGTCCTTCAAAATACATGTTTTGTAATAGCTTTGCTTAAATTGTAGTGTTTATTTATAAAATATAAATAAGGAACTAAAGCAATGATGAAAAACATCTTATTCTGGGACTTGTTAAACGATGTGCTAAATAAATTGAGGATGACTTAATGCACCCTTAATACTTTTTAGCCATTACAGAAAGTTTAAATTTTTTGAGATATATTTTTGGATGTAATAATTTTTGAATGAACGTTAAAATATTTTGGAGATGCATTTTTGAAGCAATTTAAAATATTTAATAAATTTCACTTAAAAACTATTTATATTTGAATTTAAAATATTTAATAAATTTCCCTCAAAAGCTATTTATATTTGAATTGTATTGGATGTGTATCTCTAATATTTTGGAGATATATTTTTGTAACGTATAATAGCACTTTATGTTGTATTATAATAGCATTTTATGTTATATGTTGTTATTTGTGTTTAGATAGAGATTTAAGTTATAATATATAATTAAAAATGTTGTTATTTGTGTTTAGATAGAGATTTAAGTTATAATATATAATAAAAAATAAAAAATAGTCGTACATAATGGATTAAATCCATCTCTTTTACATAAAAATATTTTTGATAAATGAAAGAAAACTCTCGACTAACAAATAATAACCAAATCTCTTTATCTCTCTTCCAATAACACCATTAATAACTATCGCATAACTCTTTTTTTTCTCAATAGAAATAAAGATTGTTATGTAATTGAACCATTCTCAATAGAAATAAAGATTGTTATGTAATTGAACCAAAAAATATGAAGATGGAATCGGTTTGAATTTCGGTACGGTAGAATGAGTTTTTGGAGGATTTAATTTGTCACATCTATATAGTGACAGCTATTATCTTTATATTCTTATTAATTTTTTTTTTTTTTTTGGATTTTCTATTAGGTTTACTGGAACTTTTTTATATTTTCAGTAAAAAAAATCAATGATTTCTAATATAAAAAATTGAAGAAATATGGAAAATTTTGAAAAATAAAATTTTGAATTTTTTTTTTTACTATTAAAAATTTTGAAATTTTCGTTAAACTATCACATTTTTCGAAATTTTTAATAAACTACAATATTTTTTAAAATTTCTGGTAGTGTTATTTATTTATTTATTTGCTTATTGAATATGATCTACTCAAATTTTAAAAAATCCGAAAAAAATTTAGGCAAATATCAGATTTATTTAAAAAAATCTGGTATGCCATTTTTTTTTCAAAAAAATCGATAAACAAGTTGTATCGAAAATTTTAAAATGAAATATCAAAAAATTTGTCTGGTATCGAAAACTTTGAATTAAATATCAGAAATTTCGTCCGCACTTTTGACTCAAATTTTTCCATAGACAGTTTGGGAATTTAGAAAATACGTGAGAGTGCCAAATTTAATTGGGGGTTGGCAGGCTAAATCCTCGAGTTTTCAGTATGTCAGAGCAGTGGTAAAATTTCATAGTTAGCACTTTAACGTTCAAGTTAGTAAATGAATGAGAAATTAATTTAAGTGTGTAAATGAAAGAATATCTAAAATGCGTGGGCACTTGATTTTATATAACATGAGCGGTTGGAGTCGTCTTCGTGTAATCTGACACCTCACACGGGGCCGTTTGATTATATCTAATAGTAGACAAATTCCAAAGATGAGGATTAGGTGCAAGTCTCCTAATTATGAGCTCTTTGAATCCTCAATGGATTATCTTGACACACATTTTTTAATGGAAATTTCTTAATGCACCCTATGTATTACTAGGGCACCAGGTGAAAATACAAAAATGTCCTCAGTTTTCGGAGATGCATTTCTGGACACACCCCGAGTAAATAGAATTTTGACTTAGCGTTAAAAAACTTTGGAGATGCATCTTCGTACTTATTTCGGAGATGCATCTTCGGACAGTATGGGCTTTATATTGTGCCAGAGCCCTTCTCATTCTCAATTTCTAATCAAACACACAACTTTCTCAAACTCTCTTAAAGGTTCTTCCACCAACCAAGTTCAAAATCAATCAATCAAGTTCAAAGGTTCTTTCATCAACATCAAGTGCATCAAGGACATCATTTAACACTGAAGTAAACTCTTAGTTTGTAAGTTTTTGATGTTTTGAAAAGTTTTTTTTAGTTTTTGTATAAATGAGTAGAAGTTGATGATTTCGGTAAGAAATGAGTAGAAATTGCATGAATGATAGTTTATACATACTTTAGAACATATTTTATGCTTAAAAATAACGATCAAACCATTATTTTTGGGGTTTGGTGGTCTACATTACCGCCATTGATAAACCTAAAAAGTTGCAGAAATTTTCGAAGATACATCTCCGAAATTTTTTAACATTTGGATTACTAGTAACCGGAGATGCATCTTTGTAAATTATCAGTCTTATTTTTGTTTTTATTTTCTTACTTGTAGGGTTGCTTGTACTAATTTTCTAGTTTACTTACAGGCATTATGGTTGATAGAGATGATAGACTGAGGCACGAGAGAATTGCACAACATGTATCAGTCTAGAGGAGAAGAGCCAGGTTTCAGAGGCTCCTGTTCATGCGGAGACATCGACTTCAGAGGCTCATGCTTCTTCTTCTTCCCACAAGAGACGAGTGTCACCTATTGAACTCGATGTCTCTAAAGTCGATGTCTCCGCATGAACAGGAGTCACCGGTGGTGCCTGAGGCACCAACGTCATCCCAGTTACCAGAGGTACCTCATGCTGATGAGCCAGTGCAACCTCCGACTAATGAGGCTGCTGAGCCAGGGTCATCTCAGACTATTAAAGATGACGAGCCAGTGCCACCTTAGGCATTTAGAGGAGGCCATGTAGAGTTGTCATTGTTGCCTCTGTACCCAGATTATACTGAGAGACATATCTGGGACGATGAGGTAAAATTAGTTGGATTCATTATTTTTAAATTATGTTTATTATTATATTACAAGTTTCTAACATTTTTTTTCAGGACCTTGATCCACTGATGTTTATTAACCATAGGCGAAAGATTATTGACTTGTCTCAGCCGAATGAGGAGTGATTTCAGGTTGCGTTCTCCCTATATGGGATGAAGGGCTTGTGCATGACCGGTTATATTACGGTCAACCACAAAATGCTTAATGCATTCTTGGAGAGATGACACACTGAGACCTCGTCATTTCATCTACTGCTTGGTGAGATGTCTATCACACTCGACGATGTGTCGTGTTTGCTGTATCTTTCGATTAAGGGAAAACTTCTAGATCATGGAAGAATTAGCAAAGACGAGACACTCGAGATGATGGTAGACTATCTGGGAGTTGACCTAGAGAATGCCATGATGACATAGTGTTATACTCGAGATAGTTGACTTGCGACTCACATCTCACATTTCCTTATCCGCCTGAGCGCGTCAAGCGGCAGTTCGACTACACTCAAACTATTCTCAGACATCTTGTTGCCTTTGCTCCTCCTAATATGACACGTAGAGATATGAATGTCATGTTTGATGATTATCTTAGTCATCTGGTATCGGAGGAGGCATGAAGTACCATCAGAGGTAACTTCCGTAATGGATCTAAGGTAAGGCAGGTCCTAGATGCCATTATGACTGAGGCACGAGAGGCACTGATGTAGCGGAGATAACGTCAGAGGACGGGGGTAGAGGAGTCCGATGAGTTGTAGTTCAGCATACACGGTAGTATATAATAGTTGTACTTTGAATTCATTATGAATTTTATTTTATTTTCACTTCATTCTACTTTATCGTGTATTTCGACTTCATTTATATGTGTCATTTTTTGACCATCTGGTGTTATATATGTCATTTTTTGCATATCGAATGTATGATTTAATGTTCATCACATAACAAGGTTCCTAACATTTATAAATCACTATCTTCATCTGAATAACCATAAATAAAACATAACCTGCACTGTTCTAATAAGTTACAGAGATGCATCTCTGTAAATCTTAAACAAATATACATCTCTAGAACAATGAAAGTGTAAAATGAACCTTTCAAAGTGGGGTGCATGACGTATGCTTTAAAATATTTCAAAGATGCATCTCAAATTAGTTAATATTTTGTCTTTAAAAATGTACACTCGAAAATGTATCTTCAAAATCTAACGAATATTTTTAATTTGTTATAAGGTGTTTTTTCATCTCTTCGAATGAAATAAGAAACTCTCTTTTTAATTGAGCTTCATTATAATTGAAACATGTGGTCGGACCTACACATAGGTGTAAATTAAATATTTTATTTTATTGTATTGTTGTTATGGTTGTTCAAATAGGAATTGTGATCATCATTGTAATATTAATAACTTATCATATGCTTTAATTAATATATATTAATTATACATGAACTACTACCAGAATCATTTAGTTCTTTTTTGGAAAAAATGGGGTCAGGTGAGGTATGTGGGTCGACTGCATAATGCAACTCGATAACCAACATACATAACAAACCAAAACAACTGGGATTTTCTAACTATAATGATTTCGAGAAAAGTTTTAAAATATTATTAATTTAATCAAACTAATTAAGGCTGCTGGAGCTGTATTATATAATGATTCCATGCTTTTGGAATTTTACATTTGTATGTTTGTTAGTATATTACATTCTTTTTTCTTTCTTTTTTTTTAAAATAAGGGACACCAAACATGAATTCTTTAAGGACTCTACTAATATAGTAAAAGATGATGTAAGAAGCATGCACTAGGGATATTCTTTTTTCTGTTTGTTGTCTCAACACAAATATATATTTTAACATGTTGGATAAA